AGGAGGGGAGAAGGAAAGGGAGGGAAAGGTGATGGCAAGAGGGGAGGGGGAAGAGGAGAGGGGAAAAGAGGGGGAAGGGAAGGAAATGGATAAAAGGAGGGAGAAGGGAAGGGGAGGGGAGCAGAGGGGGAAGGGAAGGCAACGGGGAAAAGGAGAAAGAAGGGATGGGGGATAGGGAGCAAAAGGGGAAGGGAAGGGAATGGGGGAGTGGAGGAGGGGGCGAAGAGGGTGAGGAAGGGGAGGGGGAGAGGAAAGGAGGGGGAAGGGAAAGGGGAGGGAAAGTGAGGGGAAAAGAAGGTACACAGGGAGGGGGAGGGAAGGGAAGGAGTGGAGGAGAAGGGGAAGGTAGGGGAAAGATACAAGAAAGAAAGAAAGAAATAATGGGAGATGCAGGAGAAGGAAAAATGAAGAAAGGAAGGAAGAAGGAAGAGAAAGTAACAGAGTAAGAAAGATAATGTAAAGAAGGGAGAGAAAAGAAGAGAGGGAGAAAGGGAGGAAACTTCTACATCTTACAGAAGCAAAATATAGTAGATGAACTGTTTTCCAGATATAAATGTATATGTGCATCATGATACTATGTTATGTTCAGCGTAAATTGTCTTGGGAGGCCACAATGTATAATCATGAATAACTCATTTCCATGAGTCAACAGATAAAAGTTCTTCACTTTAGATAACAAAATGTTAGTAGCATTTTGATTCATGAAAAATGTGTAAATATTATATAAATTATATTAAGAATAAATCATATTAAAACATATACACATATGTATAATTTTATTTATTGCTACAAATAGAGATAGTTTGTCTGCAGTGTGATTTTAATATTTTAAAATATTTCCTTTCATTAGAACATTGATTAAATATATGTTTCACACACTGCAGGAGCAAGTATAATACAAACGATTTATGTTTAATTTAGTAATTTGAAAATATAAAGATACTATTAAAGCCAATGTCCAGCTGGGACTGTGGGTTCAGGATATACTAATAGAATCTTAATTTGACAAAATTCTAACAAACTTAGTAACTGTTCTTTCTATAAACTCACAGATAGAGGTGAGATTTCATTTATTGTACCTTTCAATGGTATAAATTTCTTGAGGCTTTCTTTGTTATGGTCCCATAATTCTCCTTTAGAAAAAGATAGATTCTGTATTATTTCTTTTATAAAGATCATCATAGAATCAATAAGTAACATACTAAAATCATTCTTCGCATCAGCAGGCCCCTTTTCTGTTCTCTTACCCTGACAGCCTTTGCTCTACAACACCATCGGAGGTTGTTACTAAACCTTCAGCATCAAGTTTCCCTAGCAACAGAAAGCCTTTTTCTTTCTCCTACTGTCTGTATCTGAGTTTTTTACAAAAAAAAAAAAAAAAGAAATAATCTCTCAAAACACTAGAAAGCATTCAGACTGAGACATATGAAGTTAGCAATGAAAATGGTGAGTTACAAATAAAATAGGGAATAATTAAATTGTAGAGAAGTATTTTGTTTATGGATTTACACAAAGCTCCAGATGGTGATTTGCTATATTCATCTCCAGATTAGCTAAATAAAGGCCAGGACTTATGTCAGCCTGCACATGGCTTTAATGACTTTACCTTTATACTGCAAAAGGTTAAGGCTTTTAGTGCTGTGTTTCAGAAGCCACATATAAAGGAAGCTTTATTGGATTAGGCTTCTGAGAAACAAAGTGATACACGCTAGACAAGTCCAGACATTAACCATAATCAGAAGCCTCCTAGGGTTGCAAGCTTCCTTGGCTAATGGTTGGGGTAAGTTTTACTTGATTCCACCTATAAATTATTTTTCTGTTACTAGATAAAAACACTGCCTATAGCTGAACACAACTACAAAGATCTCTAATTGTAATCATAAGCATTTCTTTAACCAGTTATTTTTACTTATTCTCTACAAAACATTTTCACTAAATTTTCTGTCATTTTCTTAAGGATATTCATTCTGTTTGAATCAAGAACAACCTGTGCTTATACATTATACCTCCTTGGATCTACAAAGAATATAATTTTCACCTCCTTTGAGAAACAGGATCTGGGGGGTTGCTAGAGAATCTTTATTTAGTCATGAAGTACTTATGATTGCTTTTGATTTTTAAGGTTTTCCCCCATTGTCTGCCAGCATATACATAGAGCCATGAAATGTCAATTGCATATGAAATTGTGTGATTTTTCAGTTTGTTTAGAAAAGTTTTGGCCATAAATCTAGAGATACTCATATTAGTTTTGTTGGATGTTTATTCTCATGTTAATGATCAACATTTTTTTTCCTCCTCAATGGCACTCTGAGGATAGTGTTTCCTTTGTACATGGTTGTTTATTTAAGATTTCTTACAACTGATCAGATATGATGATTTTTAACAGCTTTATTGTGATTTTTTATTTTTAAAAAGAAAGCGTAAAGGTGTTTCACAGGTACAACGCTCTTATTAATACACTACCAATCTTATTTTATTATTTAGGAGATTCATGGTTCAATAAGATTTATTAGTTCTGTTTAATTCTTATGATTTTAATGAACTTACAAATCTTTATTATTTAAATCTTTCAGAAATCATGTATGTTGAACTATTTGTAATTACTTAGTATGCAATATTAAAATAAGGGACTATTGCTTACCTTAAAGGTTAATGTTATTTTCAAAGTTAATTACATAACATTAGAAACTATCAATATATATATACTAGTGTATGCATATATACTCATATATATACTTATATCATCTATATGATATGAGTATATATCTATCGATCATTCTGCCTAAAATTATTAAGTGTGATTTCATAAAATACATATGAAATGAATACTGAAGCATGCAACATATTGATATATATTATTTTGTCATTAATTTTCATATATATTATGTTGCAGTTAATTTTTGTACTATGTTTATATTATTAATTCTAACAAGTTTTTATTTAAAACTTAATATTTAGGTAATAATGATGCATTTTATGTTATTAGCAGGATTAAGAAAATACAATATTGCTAGTGGATAAAGTGTGTTTTTATTATCAACAACAATTGCAATTGTTAATAATTCAGATTTTTAAAAAATAATTCTCAGTTTTTACCTTAACAATTTTAATTGGCCTAAAAATGACCCTTTTAAACAAAAGTGTTTGCAACACTTTACTATTTAGAAAGGAAAAGGGCATAGATATTGATTTAATCCTAAGTATACTCAATATTCAAGAACTCAAATGCCAAACCATGAAGAGACTTCCATGTTTGCAGTTGCCATAAATAAATGACACACACAGTTTGTATAATTTTCTGCATTTTAACCAACTAGAGAATAACTTGTGAGCATAGGGAATAAGCACAATGCCCCTTTTCCCATTAAATTACCAAAACCTAATACCAAGCCTTGATTTGGAGGCATTCAATAAATATTGAGTTAATACGTTAAAAAACAAAACAAAACTGCATTGACTGACTTGGTTCCATTTTACCCTTCGGTAGCATCCTTAAAACAATAACAAAAAATCTTAGGGAAAACAAAAAAGAGGAAAGGAACAAAATAAATAAAACATTTCTGGTGACGAGTGGCCAAAAAGCCCTGAGTACGTTAAGCTATGCTTAGCTGTTCCCTGAATACGTTTTCCTCTTACACAGCCCAGATTCTTTGACTCTGGCCAAGCTCCTGCCCTAAATGGCAGTAGCCAAAGAGTTAATTGCCCCCCATGAGTGCCCTAAGTTGTCAGGAGGCTAACCACTTAATAATCTTAATGAAAATCATGTATGCTTGCAGAGGCTCATGGTAACTTTTATGGTACCCATATAACCCTGGAGAAGGTGGTCTAATCATACAAGTTTTTGCTACCCCAACTGATATAAATGAATGCCTATTATACTTCTCTATTATTGAAATAAAAAAATGAAAAAAAAAATACCATTTTACGAAAGGCCATGTGTTCCCAGAGGAAATTCTATTTTTAAATATAATAAAACTAACACTTCAGAAAATAACCCTGGAAAATAATGCTGAAGAAACAATTTTCATCTTTGAATGAACTGGAAGAAACAAAGATTAGAAAATGTGCCTCAGGTCATATTGTGGGTTTTGCCCCAAGAGAACTCAGAGAGAGAGTGCATCGCTGCTGTGTAAGATTTGGTGCATTTTACTTTCAGGGTTATGCTTATTTTCACCAAGTGCATTTTCTAATGATCAAAATAGTATTTACTAAATTCATGATGCTAACTAAATTTCCTGATGAAATAGATGGTGTCTATTCATGAGTTATTATGTTTTATCTACTTTGGAAAGCTACTGAGAAATCAAATATAACCGAATATTAAGTTATAAATGTATAACAGTCTATTATTTTGTGACAAGAAATAGAACCACATCAAAGTCTGAAGAGGTATATTCTCCATCAAGCACACATTCTTTCTTTGAACAAGTAAATGTAAACCTGAATTATAATTGTAACTGAACTTGTTGAATTTAGAATCTGAATCTGGAAAAGATTAGCTTAGCAGAGTAATCGAGCATAGCCTCGGAAGTCAGACACACTGGTTTAAGACTATTAGTTTGTCACTCATTAGCTTTGCAATTTTTAGCAAATTGATTTCATAAAATGGAGATAATTTTTATGAAATGGAAACAATAGTACACATCTCATCTAGTTGAGTTGAGGCTTACATAAAATATTGTACGTAATGTGCTATGAACAGGATCTGTGAGCTGAGAACTCAATACATATTAAGGATTATGAGTTACATGATTTGCATGCTTTATTACACAAAGAAAGTTCAAAGCACCCACATGCACAATGATGGCATATTTAATACTGGGCTTGTTCCAGTGGAGTTTTTTATATCAGCGTTTACTCCTCCTTAGAATCTGCTTGAAGACTCTGCCTAATATTGCTTCCATGGCTCTTCTTTTCACCTTCCTTCTCAGGGACCCCCACTTTCAATTCACTCAGTCGTTCTCCAGACATGTTAATACTGTGTTTATCAGATTACAGCCAGATCTGACAGTCTTGGACAGCATCTTTGAAGTGAATTTGTAGCACCATGCCAATCCATTACATAATGATTTTACAGTTAATTTTCAGAAACAATTCATTTTTCTCTCCTCAAGGTCTTGGGGAGAAGGTCATTAGATGTTCCAAATATCAGTAAAATACTTTGAGATAATGTGAATTTCTCACAATGTTAGTTCAAAATATTAATCAGATTTCTTCTAAGAGCTTTCTTTCATTACTTCTAAAGTATTAATTTATCATTTGTAGAGTTGTAACTTTAATGTAAATATAGACAAAAAATAATTTTAATATTAAAAAATGTAAATATAAATTCAATTTTTATATGTAGAAAATAAACACACATGGAACCAATGCACTTTGCTCATTCAAATTTTTGGCAGGAATATATTCTTGATAAAAATGTAACATTAGCATAAAATCTATTTTATAAGTTAATATGCAACTATTAAAATGGTTTATTCAATGTATTATTTACATTTTAGGATATAAGTTTGGAAATTAGCAACTAACATAATTAAATTTGTAAAAAAAGAATTATTGCTCACATATTTTCTTATTATATATCTATCCATGTATCTTTCTATGTATCTGTTTATGGTTTATGTATCTATCTGCCTGTATATGTGCATGCATTAGTCAGAATTCTCCAAAGTAGCAGTATCAATAGGATGTCTGTGTGTGTAAGTGTGTGTGTTTTATGTACACACATTCTATTGGTACTGTGTGTGTGTGTGTGTGTGTGTGTGTGTGTGTGTATGGAGAGAGAGAGAGAGAGAGACAGAGAGAGGAGAGAGAGAGAAGAGAGAGAGGTACTTTAAGGAATTGGTTCATGGGATTGTGCAGGTTGGCATGTCTGACATTTACATGGCCAGCTGCTGAAGATCTAGGGAAGGGTTAATGCTGCAGCTCTAATTGGAAGGCAGTCTAGAGGGTGAATACTTTTCTTTTTAGGGGACCTCAGTCTTTTCTCTAAAAGCTTTAAAGTTATTGGATGAAGCTCACTCACCTGGTGGAAGGCACTTTTCTTTACTCTAAGTCTCCTGATTTAAATGTTAATAACATCTGAAAAATTACCTTCATAGCAACATCTAAACTGATGTTTGACCATAAAGGGGATACTACGGCATCATGGCCTAGCCAAGTTAAAACATAAAATTAATCATCATTTTACACACACACACACATACACACACACACACACGTATCTATGTATTTATAGATTGCCTTATATATTTTATTTTATTATTTATTTATTTATTGATGTGGAGTCTCACTCTGTCACCCAGGCAGGAATGCCCTGGCGCCGTCTCTTCTCATTGCAACCGCCACCTCCTAGGCTCAAGCGATTCTGCTGCCTCAGCATCCCAGTTAGCTGGGAATACAGGCAAGTGCTACCATGCCTGGCTAATTTTTGTATTTTTAATAGAGACAAGCTTTCACCAGGTTGGCTAGGCTGGTCTCAAACTCTTGACCTCAAGTGATTCGCTCACCTGGGTCCCCCAAAGTGCTGGAAATACAAGGCATGAGCCACCACACCTGTTCACCTTATATGCTTTATAAGATAATCTATTTTCTTGGTTATTACAGAAAATAAGCCAATATTTATCAAATTAGTATAAATACTGTCAGTAAGCTTAATGAGCTTTTTTTGTTGTTCATAAACTACAACTTATTTTGAAACATTGAAAATTAACATAAAATTAAGTAGCTTCAGCAATTAAAAATAAAATGTAATGAGAAAAAAAGATTCTTTTATTTTTG